CGAGAGCCCTGTTTTTGAATTCCCGCGCTTATCTAATCAGTTTTTTTTTAATTTTATTAAACATATCCTGTCAAAGTTGAACGCATATCGTACGATTAGTTCTTGTTTGGCGTCTATACAAAGATGTCGAAAAATTTTCGTGTGGCGATCTCAACAGTGCCACAGAAGAACCAAATTTCTACAAAGTATGAACAATAGAGCGAGAAAACAATTTGTAGGACTAGTACACCAAACGATATTATCTGCCTTCAGGATAATTTAGTTAATTTATTTATAACATATCGGTCTAATTTGTACACGATCTTTAGATGTTATTTTTTTTCTAATTTAATAAAAAAAAATTTAAATAATACTGAAGATCTTCTACAAACTGCACCGAAATATTTGTTTGAAATTAGCAAATAAATTTAGCGGTTTTATTTTAATATATTTTTTATATTATTTATATTATTATTTATTTATTATTTATATTATTTAAAGTACTATAATAGAAGTTAATTAACAATTAAGGTAACGAAATTATTTCGTTATAAAGTGTAGTGTTGTGATTTCGATAATTTTGTTTCTAATCCCGGATTAAAAAGTATTCTGTAAGCTATATTTTCATATGCTAAATTACTTCTTTCGCCTTCAATTGATATTATAAAACGCAACGTTCTGTCGAGTGTCGAGTGTATCGGCACTGTAAACAGAAGAAATATTGTTCAAAGTCATTGAAGTATGCTATGGGTTATTGCAGAAATCTCTAGTTTGTGATAGTAGTCTGTGGTATATGCCGGTAGTTTAAACGACAAAGATATTTTAAAACCATATCAGTTTGTTTTAATAATAGTTATACCAGTGCTTTCTTTGCCGACGTAAGTAATTGCGAAGTTTAAATTGTGCGAAAATCTTTTAAACGCTTTGCCGCGCTAGCAATTGGAACATGCAACAACAGCAGAAATTAAAACATCCGGCCATCTCCAATTTATTTATGTGAAAAGTGCTCATGTACTCTTGTAAATAATCTAACTAGACTAATCGGCTTAAAGGCTTTCTACGTTATTCCTCTTAAAAAGGTGCAATTAAGGAAACGAAAATACAATTTGAAAACAAAAACCAGTTTCGTAAAATTAACGTTTATTTATTAAAAAAAATCTAAAAACTTTTATACAAACCAGCTTAAAAGTAGAAAGGGAATATTAGTGGTTATTAAAAGAATTGAACCGAATGCACACACTGAATAACCAAAAATAGCTGTTGAAAATGCAGGGTTTGAAGTAAATTTAACTTTAAATAAAAAAACAAAGATAAAATTCCTCAACCTTTACATAAAATCGAACTAGAAGCAGATATTTAAAAATTATAAAAGAACGAGAATCCAATTTAGCAGCACTTGCGCTTATCGTAAGATAACAGTTAAAGAACCTCATAAGTGGAAAACTCCAGTATGGTGCCTAAACTGTCAAGAATTTGAGCACACTAAAAGGTATTGTACACAGCACACGATCTATGTTGTCTGTGGTTGTGCTCAGCACTCCACTCAATGCAGTACAGATAGAAATAATGGTAATTCTAGAAAACAACTGTGGTGGTAATCGTACTGTAATCTACCGTGGCTGTCCAATATATATTAAGATGAAGAACAGAACTATTTAAAGCTATTTAAAATCGATATAATATCAACCAAACGACCAAACATTGTTAGTACTTCTTATCGAACTTATGATGAATTTTATAACCCCTATTGTAATGCTTAATACAAGATATAATAAAATCCCAAAATCAAATTATGCAGTGTGTTACGGATGCCAACGGCATCCGTCAGCACAAGCTTAAAGTCATAAACTTTCTTTTACCTAACATTGATCTTATTCTAGTATCTGAAACTCATTTATCACGCAAAACCAATTTTTCTCTACCTTAATTAAATTTCTAGGTAGACCCATGGTGAAACAGGAATTCTAATAAGCTCAAAAATTAATTACTACATCTAAGAAAAATGTCCGGGAACAACATTATAGAGCTTATATTCAAACTACGACAATATGCATTAAATTCATTGGAGATGAAGTCGCCCTTAGTATTGTCTATTGTCCTCCAGATTTCTTGCAACTGAAGCTCACTTTGTGGATTTAAAATTGTGGACATCAAACTAGTATCTGCGCATTTGAGGAACTATCATCTGACCACTCTCCAGTTATAATAAACTTGTTTAAAGAACCTAAAAATAGCCAAAGTACAACAAGACTGACGTCAAAGAAAACTAATTGGCTCAAATATCGTCATTGTATTAGTAGTCACATAGATATAAGCCGATCTCAATAACAACTTAGCGAAATCGATTGGGCTCTTAATAGGTTCGATACAGTTTTAAAATCAACTGCTAAATACATCACTTTCACCGACCAGACAATATTCTCTAGCTCTTCTAGAAAATCTTCAGATGCAATTGAAAATATCATCAGAAAAAAAAGACATCTGAAGACATCGGTCCGAATTAGTTTTGATGTGGACAAGTAAAAAAACTTCCGTCTGTATTATTTTTGGAGTGGACGAGGAAAAACTTTATAGCAAACTAAGCGAACGAACGAAAATTTGAAAGGCGGTCTAGATGATAAAGCAAATGCGAACGAACTCATTTGTAGAGTTTGCTTACATGTGGATGTGAAATTTTGTATGAAAAGAAATATTTGATTTCGTTCGTGAATGTTCGTTGTCAGTGGAACAATAAACGAATGTGGTTACACATTCTATGTTATTATTATGTTATGAAAATTATAAAATATTTTCACAATGTGTGACTTTCACAATATTTTTATGACTATGGTTTTTCCCGATCATTATGATAGCATGGGTTTTTTCTAAATTTTAGTTTAAAATATTTAAAACAATAGAATAATAAAAGGAACCCAATTTACATAATAAATGGATTATTAAATGTATTAAAAAATCTTTTGTAATTATGAGCAGGTATTCAAGCAATCTTTTTTATTGTAACATATGCGCAATCATTAACGATTTTTTACAGTTCAATAATGGAAGGACACATTCTCTAATTAAACAGCTAAACAAAGTCTGAAAAATGCATTGTTCTTAAAGATGGAAAATAGTAATATCTCCCGACTAATAACTTCACATTACAAAATCAGTTCTTCCTAGTTAGTTATTGGCGTCTCAAACTCAAAACCAAATAGATCCAGCATGCAAAAGCGTGTTAATAAGTTAATTACCAAATTATTGATAAAAAAATTTAACTCGAAAGTGGGAAATTTTTTCAAATCACAATGATTCCAAAAACAGGAAAAAAACTTAAAATTAGCCTTTTATTAATACTGTCAAAAATTTTGAGCGAATGCTTTTCGAAAAAATACCAACAAATCTACCTCACCAACGATTTGGTTTTCGTGGTGAGACTAACTTGATGCAAGCATCTTGAGGTTACGTCAACTTAAATAAAGCTAAAGGCAGAAAAAGTTCATTGGTCATTAAACAAAAACTCCAAGTAGCACCTAAACCGCAAAGTGTTACTCTATAATAGTTTATTTAAGCCAACCTGGAAGTATGGCCCTGAACTATGGGGCAATGCATGTTTTTCCAACATTGATACAGTGACATAACACACCATAAACCGTATGTTTCAGGCCATTGTCATATTGGAAGCTAAACGAGGCTGGTAAACTCTTCACTTTTCAATTCGCTTACATCTGATCTGTAGCAAATATGCACCCCCAATACAAACACCCTGTTTCACAGACATCAGTTCGGTGTTTAGTTTTCTCCAAACCGTTTGGCGACCGTTGGATCAAAAGATATTAAATTTTCTTTTATCCAAAAAGATTACATTATTCGATTGCTTAAGTACTTTTTTGCATACTTCTAGTGGTTTACTAGAAACTTAAAAAAACGGTTTTCATCTAGTAATTGGTTTCATGGGGTATACTCCCTGATCGTTATGCGGTGAATATCACTAAACTCTAACTTAACTTCAGCTGCGATCTGAATTGAACATATTTTTGGGATGACCATATTTTTGGTGTCCACGATCGCTCAATGCTTCTAACCATCATTTCCCCAATATCAGCATGAGATATGGCTTGATTGTGCAAATATTGAAATATTTTCCGCTGAGATTCGGTGATTTCTTTATGTTGACTGCTCATGTTGTTTAAAATGGATTAAGGCTAGATTAATATTATAGGATAGAAACCATGTTATTTATTATGTACAAATAATAGGGTGTTTCCAGGAAAAAGTTGTCAGATCGATGAAATTATGCTAAAATAGTTTATTAGAACGCAAGTGTACCAATAATTTTGTTCAGCGGAATTTAATAATTTTGTTCGGTTTTTTGATTTTAAAAAATTAAATATTAGAGATTATATAATGAAATTAAATGAATTTAATTGGAAATTAAGCATTTTATCTAAAAAACATGTTATTTAATTAAAAATCGCTGCATTAACGGGGTTAAAAGAGTGTTCAAGTTCAATATGTTTACTGTGCCAATAATTATGTTCGTGACTGTATATGAAATTCTTATTGTAATGCCTGCCAGCTATAAGCAGAATCGATTATTGATGTGAATCGATTATTGAAAGTAGAAATAGAGAGAATCGTAAGAAACTGAATTTTTCTATTCCAACGAAGCAATTTCTTTGACTGGAAGCTGTTCGGATTGAACTTGTGTTCTGTTATTGTCACATACAATTTTTTTGTTTTTCCTTTTGTACGTTAAAGTTTATACGCTGTCTACTCATATGTCAGATGTCTTTTGTTAAATGTCATATTTAGGATTTATTTTCAGATTGCAATAACAATCTTGTTGAGTAACTTCACAGAAATTTATCTTTTAGTTAACTGAAAATATGGCGAAATAATATTTATTTAGAAGGCTATTGCTGTCTGTAATTTTTATAAAGTCAAGCTTGCAAATGAAAAATATTGTCTTTTAAAATATAATAAATAAATTTGTAATTTTTTCAAAATCGTATGTTTTAACTTAAAAAAACATATTTTACCTTCGACATATCTGGCAGCTTTTGCAAGCCTAATCCATCCATTATTAATCTCATAAGTTTCTGATTATCTTCTTTGTCTCGAATATTATTGGAGTTTAAGAATTTTTGATTACTGAGATTACCATTTTCATCTTTATCATCGTAGTCGTCTGGTTCATTATCACTTATTGGGTTTGTTATTTTATCATTTCGCTGAGCTTGTGGGTAATTATGCCACAACAGCTGTAAAGTTGCTGTTGTTTGAAGTTTAGCATTATTTACTTGGCTATTTAAATTGGAGATTTTGTTATAATCCGGACCACTCACTTTGTTGTGTAATGATTGGAACTCGTAAGCAATGTTTGTCATATTTTCAAACTCCGGCTGCAGTTTATCAACATTATTCATGTCGTTTGAAGACCTTTTATAAATTATTTTATTTAAAATCAACAGACTATTCTTATATGAGGCTGTTTCGTTTTGCTTGTCCTCCTTATAGATTGAGTTATTGAAATAATAATAGAGGAATCTGTCGTCCACTGATTTTTTGTGAATGGCCTCAGTAGCATTTCCAAGGTTGACATTAGTTATATTAATTAGTTTGAAATTGGATAAATCGGCACTACTTATATTTTTTAATTTGCTGACATATATGTCTGTATTTTCATAAATTTGTTGTTTAGCTGTTTTTTCTGTTGTTATCTTTGTTATAGACAATAACGACATTAATAGTATTATATTTATTAAGAGTAAGGAGATACTTATTGCATATATTTTAACAGTGCTAGTGTCATTTTTTTTTCGTGATACATTGTTTTTATCACTTGATGTATCCAAAAATGATGTGGTATGTGTGGTATTTACAATGTGTAAGGCATCATATTTTCTAACACAGCAACAACATAACATATCATAACTAATCGACGAACATTTATAAGTTTTTGAAGAACCAAACGTATCATTAAACATAATTCTGATATTTCTTTTAAGTTTTTTTGATTTTGGTTTATTATTTAACTTACTGGTTCTTTTAAAAAACATATATAAATTATTGTTTAGACTTGAAAATAGCATTTTTCAATATATGAATTTCTTTTATTTTTTTGTTTTTGCCCTCTAATTATTATGGGCCATTACATTTGTTTATCTTATACTGAAGTTCTCTAAATAAATGCATTAAATTTTGTAATGTAGAAATGCGTTTCATTTTTCAAAACACTCGAAATTATTTACTAGATACTAAAACCAGAATTAAAACAAATGAATACACATCTTTCTTGTTTCAATGATAAATGTTTTATTGAAAATACATAATCCAAACAAAATTTACGTAAGAATCATGTTTTTTCAGTTTTTACTTCTCTAAATCTTTACGAAAATTAATGTTTATATACTTATACACGCTTGTGTTAGAGTCGATAAACATTTATACATTTCATGCCTACGAGTTCCTAATTATATATTTTGCATCACTATATACACATATATATGTATGTATGGATGTACGTTGTGTAGAGCAGTTTTATTTGGAAAATTTTAAATGTAAAATATTTTACTAAATTTAGTGAGTAATTCTGACTAGGTGGAAAGTCTACAAAATTTGAATTAGTATTTCAGTATTTATAAAACAAATTCACTGATCACTCCATGGTTTCGTTCCGCCAGTTTTTTTATGCACTTCATACTTTATTATGAATTATATGTACATACATACATATGTGCTACAACCGATATTGAAAACTAATATGACTAAGATAAATTAACCGGAAATGGTTAAATGCATCAAAATTCTAAAGAATTCTACTTTGTACTCTGGAGGAAATAATTTACTGATCACAGTTCACAATACAAACAAACATTTCCCATTCTTAAAAAAATGTTACTTTGGTAAATCTAAAGCAATGCAAACACAAAACTATCAAAATATTAAAGAAGAATATTTTCGATATTTTATAATTTAAAACTTGAAATAGTTCGAGATATTCACTTTTTACGCCGCACGAACTAAGAACACAAATCCGAACCGCATGAAAATCTTACCACAACTAACGACTTTAAAGTGAAACATTCAACATATTAATACCATAAATCAGCTGAAGAAAGTATATCTGGAATACTTAACATTACAAATAAACTGCACTAGTTCCATAAGTATTGCGTTACTGTGCCATCCTTTTCGAGGATGATTTTACTCTCGCTTTCTATTTTGTTACGATTGAGGAAGCGTAAGAAAATTTGCAATAATTGCGTTATGCTGCAAATACAATTCTACAATTCAAAAATATGCCGATAATTTCATATAATCGAAAATAACAAAAAGGACTGCTGTCTTTTACAGGTAGTGAGAGTATAAACAAACAAATTTTAATGGTGATCTGATTGCTTTTGACATTTGCAGCAGGTTTCGATAAAAATTTGATTTCTGTAGGTGAGACAAAAATTAGGATCTGGAAACAAATGTGTTCCTTATATTACAAATCTGCATCGCGCTTCAGTTACAACGCACAATTAATTTAAAAATATTATAAGGACCGATTTCAAAATCGTAACTCAATAAACCGATAAGAAATGTGATTTTAATATTTTCTGTCTTTGATACGCCAGACTCATGCATGCTTGCGAATTTACTGAATTTTATATTCTGTACACAATATTAACCTTATGAGTGACGCTCAATTTTAAGCGTCAAAGCCTCTTGAGATATTTAACACTGTTTGATATTGTTATGATCGCAGTCACAGGCACAATATTGAGAATAACAATAAGAGAGTAAAATTTAATGAGTACCTAGTTAGGGTAATTGATTTTACCTCTGCAAGCCTCTATTCCCTAAGTCATTAGGGTTCTACGGTGACAATTCTCAAATTGTAGTTTGTAAAATATTTTTAGTTGAATACTAAAAATATTCTATAAAAGTATGTACAATTACTAGAAAAGTACTGACAGCAACTGTGAATTCTTAGTAAAACTGAACATTTCATAATATAAAAAAATTTACAATATTAATAAATATTATATGAATATATGTAGATTTCTGAAAATAGTACTTTGACAGAACAAAAACTGCATTTCTGGAATTTGTATGAGTATAAAATTTCAGGCGTTTATTGTTGTAATTATATTTTTAATAATATCATCCTGTGATACGTAGGAAAAATTGAATAATTTTAATGACAAAATGTTAACAATTGAGTATACACTATTAATTGATATTAAGGCCGTGTGTGAGTTCGAATAAATTGATGGTAAATTGAGAGAGATAGTAAATTATGTTGGTATGGCAACGAATGTTGGTATTTACCAGAATTTCAAGTAGGGTTAATTGGATAAAAATTAGGTAAATTAGGTATTACCATCGTGAAAATTTTATAAGGTCTTTAATAAATAAATTTAAAAACTTTTAACTAAAAATAATAAATAACTGCAATAAATAAATAAATATTTACATAAGTGCAGTGCAAAAAATCTCAAGGAAATTTCAATTTACTTTACCTCAATTCACCCGAACTCGCGGAATCTTTTGTTGACTTTGTTATGGCTTACTACATTCGTCAAGCTATATTATAGTTCTTCTATAAAAAAAAATCTTAATTATTATAATTCTCATTTTTTGCCTATTAACATAATTAACTTTGGGCATACCACTTACCAAGTACAAATAAAAAACCGGGGTTATTACTACAAGCTTTTTCTTTTATATTTTTTTTGGCTAAAATGCAACATTTCTTATGAATTTTGAATGTTCAAGAATTGATAAAATTGAATCAAAATCATCTGAACGAAGTGGCGAAATGGTCTGACACCTGAGGGATAAAATAAACGTCTAAAAATTTGTCCCAGCTATTTTTAGCAACAGAAAATTTGAAAAAAGAAATTGAAAATTGTAAACATTGATATACCAATCTGCAAGAAAGTCAAATAGCTGGATATGCTATTTAACTAAAAAACTGACTTGGAAATAGCACACAATATAGAAGAAAAAGGAAGCCGTTTGAAGATTTGTAGATCTATATTGGCTCTTTGGTGAAAATTCCAGTCTGTCAATTGATAACAAACTACTAATTTACAAAAAGTTATTGTTCCGATTTCGAAATACGAAATTGAAATATGGGGAATATCTGTAAGACAAATATAAAAACTATCCAGAGGCTGCAATCAGAAATCCTGCGAATAATAGTAGGTAATAGATGGTATATTACAAACGACGACATTCATAAAGATTTGAAAAACAATACTGTACATAAAACAATCAAAAAAAGCAGTTCTAACCATATATCTAAATTGCTGTAGCACACAAATTTGGAAATGAGAAAATTCCCTGCCTTGGAACTACGTTGAATTCCTTAAAAAAAAAAATAAGACAAAAAAATGTATTTATGTATATGTTGAAATTGTATGTAATGTATTAAAAATATTAACATGTTATCTTAAATGATGATTTAAGATAAGTTTTAAGATATCTATGATAGTTATATTATTAGAATAATATCAAAAAAAGAAAAAAAAAGATTGAAGTAATCTTAATCTTCCATCCATTTTTTGCAACTATATATATTTTTCATAATTGCAATCAAGTTTGCCAAAAAAAAATACTGTTATAATTTTGAAACGCTGATAGCTATTTCCCATGAGGTATATGATTGCAATCATATCAAGCATTCCATCATTTAGGGGCTGTTGTAATAGCAGTTATGTTGCAATGTTTTTGGTGTTGCTTTCAATACAAAATGAAGTGAGCTGTCAATCTTAAACTTTCATTTTGCATGAATAGCAGCAGTTGCGGTCACATAACTGCAATCATGCTACACCAATAATGATCATGCCGGAACCTTTTTGTGGACTATACCAGGATTATACCAGGATTAACACAATCCAAATCACTTTTTGGTACCTATAACAATTAGAGTTATCAAGATTATATGAACCTATCAAAAGAAAAACTTAAAATCCTAACAGGGTACTGTAAACTATAATACCACCATACAAAACTGGGTATACTTACGGATGCAAACTGTAGATTCTGTGAAGAGATTGAGGAGTCGGCCACATATGTGTTGTTAGAATGCCCTGCACTAATGCACATACGGAATAGGCTCCTAGGAATGTATATTCTTGCGGAAGACACATTAAAGCTCTGTAAAGTAGGTTCTATACTACTTTTTATTGACGCAACAGGGCTTAGAGACCTACTCTAAAACTATAAGAGGCCATAATAGACCCGATGGTCGCTGTACCAAATTCTCTAGCAATAATAATAACAGTAAGAACTGCAATCGTTACATGCCGCTTACAAGAAACAGGGAAAAACGAGTGTGACTGTGGCATCTGAATGAAAGGGCAATCATTACATGACCCTTACGGTCAGCTGTCACTTATGAAAGATTGAAAGATATAATGAGATATAAAAACTTAGATGTTGATGGGTAAAAAGTCAATGTTATATAATAATAACCTATTTACTTTTACTATTCTATATACTAATATGATTTATAATGTATATATACTATATATAATATGACTTTTACGAAATATTTATTACATCTAATTTAATTAAATTTAATGATGTACATAAAGAATTCGTATAATTTATTAATTTTGCATTGGTGTACGCGCTTTAAAATAATGCGGTTATTTCACTCATTTATATTTCGATAATCAAATTAAAATTATTACTTGATCATTAATAAAAAATGTTTTTAGCATCAAAAGTGCGGATTAATTTCGTGTATATTTGCAATTGATAACTGTATGTAAGGATTACTTACTGATTTTTCAGCATTTTTTACTGTAAATTAAAAAATATGCCATTAACCCGTTTCGTACATATTTTGTATTTTAGTTTCCTACTAAGGAATAATTTAAAAAGAAATTATCAAAGAAAATTTATTTTTTATAACATATAATGGTACACGCAAAGAATATTTTTCAAAGAACGAAAAGTCCGCCCACTTCGAGCATAATGAAGAGAAAGTGCTAAAGAAAATTTAGTTTTTATAACATTTTGAAACATGT